TCCCTCCCTCTCTCCCTCTCTTCCTTCTTTCTTTCCTATCTTCCTTCCTCCCTTTCTTCCCTCCTTCCTTCCTTCCTCCACCCTTGCCTGCCTGCCTGCCTTCCTTCCTTCCTTGCTTCCTTCCTTCTTCGCTCTCCTCCGAGTGGTGGGCCTTCTCCTCGTCCTCGGCTTCTTCCTCCAGATGCATCCTCAGGGAGGGAAATCCTTTCTTTTTCTCCCTGGAGAGTTCCTTCTGGGACCTTCCAGGAGGGCCCTCCTCCTCCTCCTCCCAGGCGCCCTCACACGTGCTCCTTCCCCACAGAAAGGCTCTCCAGGGGGAAGAAAACACCCAAACCCCTGCTTTGCCTTGCCTTGCTGGCGGATGTAGTTGGCGTCGCTTCCTGTAGGCCTCGGGTGAAATTGGCACCCCTTCCGGGGATGCCTTCCTTGTCCTCAGAGATGGTGGCCTGGATTGTTTGGGATCCGGCTCCTCTCTGTGTGAGATGATTGAGAAAGCTCCCTTTCCTTGCACATCTTTTGCTGGTTCCCGGTTGCGTTTGTGTCGGAGCGAGAAGAAAGGAGGTTTCAGGCTTGGCTGGAAGGGCTTTTCGACAGATCTTGTTCAAATAAGGCAGGCAGGGCGCACAAATAAATCATAAATAATACCGCTTTTATTGCTGCCTGATTTCTCCCCCCTCCCTTATCGGAAACCATTAATATTTGCAGTTGCTGCGGTTAGGGAGGCTCATTAAAATTGATTCGAGTGCCAAAAATAGGACTCCTTCCTCCCTATTAAAAGAGAGAAAGAGAGAGAGAGGAAGAGAGAGGAGACTCGGGCGAGAAGAACCACCCTGAAGAAGGCGCCTTTCTCTTTCTTTTTTACCCGTCCCTTTTTTTTTCTATCTCCATCTCTCTATCTTCTAAGCAAACAAACAAAACAACGCAAAGGCAGGCAAATCCTGGGAAATGTAACAGATTGCCTGCAAAATATCAAATTAAAGGTAGGCGGGGGTAACGGGCATGTTAGCAATTTTGCTTATGATAGATGGTTCAAATTAACTTTGCAGGCGGGTGCATTAGCGTCGCCTTTGAAGCGCTCCGGCTGGAGCCCAGAAGCGCACAAAGCGCCCTTGGTTGGGTTTTAATTTTTTGTGAAAGGATGGGGGGCACCTAGGAGCATCAAAGGGACCAGAAGCCAAGAGAAGGAGGCTCGGAGGTGGCCTTGGCCACAGTGGACGGGTGTGGATGTGTGGCTTTAGCACCTTCCCTGAAAAACAAAACACCTCCCCGCTTTATTTTTTTCCTAAAGGCCCCTTTCCTTCGGGGCTCCAATCCTATGCCATTACACACACGCACACTCTCCTTCCCTTTTTCAAAAAATGGGCCCAGGAGACACACAAAAGCTTTGGGGGGAAACAGCCCAACCGCCCCACTCGCTTTGCTGGAGGCTCTGCTTGAGAGGAAGGCGAATCCTTCCACGTTTCTCGCCTGAAGAAGAGTAGGATTGACACGGCAGCCCATGTAATATTAATCTCGACTTGAACACGGGCTAATGTTTTGTTCCTGGCGGGGAAGGCAGGCCTGGGACTGGGAAGCGTGGGCTGAGACTGCCCCCCTGGTTCCTCCGGCTGCAAATGCAGGCCCAGCAGCCAGGGAAAGGCCGGCACCCTCTCTTTCTTTGCAGAGGATCAAGGGCAGAGCTTAAAACAAATGGGGAGATTTGTGGAACAGCCACCGGGATGCGTTTTATCTTCCGGCTCCTTGGGCTTCTTTCCTCGTCCCTCTCCTCCTCCCCCTTGTCTCTTCATCTCCTTGTCTTTACTCCACTGACAGAAAAGAGACTCTGGTGGCATTTTTCAGGGTGATTGAACTGGGAAGGTCCCCCTGCTTTCTCTTAAACCCTGTATTTATCCATTCGTGGGAGAGCCAGAGCTAAACTAGCCAAGGGGAAGAAATAACTGAGCCCAGCTTTTTGTCTTTCCAGAAAATTGCGGCTTTAGGAAGCCAAAGTCTTCTAAGACCCTTCCACACAGCCCTATCTCCCAGAATATTAAGGCAAAAAAAAAAAAAAATCCCACAATATCCGAGAGTGGATTGAGGCCCCTTCCGCACAGCCCTATATCCCAGAATATCAAAACAGAAAATCCCACATTATCTGAGTGTGGACTCAGGGCCCTCCAGCACAGCCCTATATCCCAGAATATCAAGGCAAAAAAACCCACATTATCTGAGTGTGGATTCAGGGCCCTTCCACACAGCCCTATATCTCAGAATATCAAAGAAGAAAACCCCACATTATCTGAGTGTGAACTCAGGGCCCTCCAGCACAGCCCTATATCCCAGAATATCAAGGCAAAAAAATCCACATTATGTGAGTGTGGACTCAGGGCCCTCCAGCACAGCCCTATATCCCAGAATATCAAGGCAAACAATCCCACATTATCTGAGTGTGGACTCAAGGCCCTTCCACACAGCCCTATATCTCAGAATATCGAGGCAGAAAATCCTACAATATCTGCTTTGAACTAGGTTATCTCCTTCCACACTACTATATATCTCAATTTAAAGCAGAAAATGTGGGATTTTATTCAACTGTGTGGAAGGTGCCTCAGATAGCTCAGTTCAAAGCAGATATTGTGGGATTTTCTGCCTTGATGTTCTGGAACATAGGGCTGTGTGGAAAGGCCCTTAGAAAGCCCCCCAAAAAGGCCTGGCTCCATAACACCCCACTCCAAAAAGGGCGAGAGGTTTCTCCCGCTTTTCCTAAATCCGAGCTCAGGGATCGCCTCAACCAACATTCCCTATCTCAAGATAAGATATTTACACCTTGGACGTTTCTGACATTTTAAAAAAAATCCCCAAAAATTCACAATCAACAACAGGGGAGCGAGAAAGAAATAATATTTTCGGTTGTGCGTTTTCCGGGCTGTATGGTCATGTCCCAGAAACATTCTCTCCTGACGTTTCGCCTGCATTTATGACAGGCATCCTCAGAGGTTGTGAGGACCTCACAACCTCTGAGGATGCCTGCCATAGATGCAGGCAAAACGTCAGGAGAGAATGTTTCTGGAACATGACCATACAGCCCTATTCCGGACATTAAAGCCTTCGACAATATTTTCCATTGGGTTGTTGTGAGTTTTTCGGGCTGTATTGACATGTTCCAGAAACATTCTCTCCTGAAGTTTCGCCTGCATCTATGGCAGGCATCCTCAGAGGTTGTGAGGTTTGAAAGCCTTCGACAATGCAATATTTTCCATTATTTGGGAAGGGAGAGGAAAGGAGTTCTGGCCTGCCGGGGCTCCTGATGGGCCCTTGCCTTTCTCTCTCAGCACCTCTCTGCCTTTCCTATCTGCATCCATTTCCATTTGGGCCTAGTCTTGTTTTGAGAGCTAACCAGAAGTTAATTTAAGGTGGTTCTTTCTCCAAGTCGCCCAACTTTTTGAAGCAAACTCATGGATGGAGATGATCCCCGAGGCAGGTCTGGCCCACAACCTGAAGGGAGAGTTGTTTTCCCTATCAGTGTCCTTTAAGAGGAGAAATCAAGGCTTAAGCAGGCTCGGAAGTTGCTCTGGCGTGTCATCTCCCCCCATTTCATCCCTGCTTTAAACTCAGGATATTATTTTTCATCATCCGCACACCAGTCTCACGAGCCAACGGGGCTTTGAAAGGGTGTCCTGGCTTGGGTTGTTGTGTATTTTCCGGGCTGGAAAAGAAGCATTCCTTCCTGACGTTTCGCCTGCATCTATGGCAGGCATCCACAGCGGTTGTGAGATCCCACAACCTATGAGGATACCTCTGAGGCGAAACGTCAGGAGAGAATGCTTCTGGAACATGGCCATATCAGCCCGGAAAAAACACAACAATCCAGTGATTCCGGCCACGAAAGCCTTGGACAGTCCTGGCTTGTTGGCTCCTGACAAGGATATGCAAACCCCATTTTAAAATAAAGAGAATGCTTTCCTAATTCCTGCCCCCCTCCCTGTGCTTCCCCACCTTGGAGATATTAAAATTTCCAGAGGCAGGATCAAGTGAGATAAGATCAGGCCCATCAATCTCTCCTCCGCGCCATCCCAACTTTGATTTCTCGTTATATGCGCACTGATTACATCTATATTTTCTGAGCACTAAACTCTCCTGGATGCGTTACATGAAATATACTCCCTGTAGTACAAAAAGGCCCAGGTCGGGCTTCTGCCGAACAGTAATGATTATTTATTTACATCATTCCTTTTGCCATAGACAGGAGGAAGAAAAATGGAGAAATAATGACTGCAGGGAGAAAATATGGCCATCTTCAAAAAGTGGGACACGCACAATTTCCACCTAATTCCCCCACACGCAGAGGCACACAAGCACACTTCCCAGCCTCCACCCCCCCCCCTCCAAACACACACACCCATCTTCGCCTAGATGCAAATTAACAGAAGGTTGGGGAGACATTGCTTTCTTTCTTGAGTCTATTTCTTCACTCAGCTAATCGATCAGATAGCACAGATTGTTTAATTAATTTTCAGATCTTCCTGCTAGGGGAAAAAAGTGTTGAAAGCACTCCCCTCCATTGGAGGTTTAAACACCTCAGATTTTGGGTTGCTGTGAGTTTTCCGGGTTGTATGGCCATGTTCCAGAAGCATTCTCTCCTGAGGTTTCGCTCACATCTATGGCTGGCATTCTCAGAGGTTGTGGGGTCTGTTGGAAACAAGGCAAGTGGGGTTTATATATCTGTGGAATCTCCAGGGTGGGAAAAAGAACTCTTGTCTGTCTGAGGCAAGTGTGAATGCTGCAATTGATCACCTTGAATAGCATTGAATAGCCTTGCAGCCTCAAGGCCTGGCTGCTTTCTGCCTGGGGGGATTCTTTGTTGGGAGGTGATTTTGCTTGGGGAAAAAAGCATGCTTACATTGAGAGGGGTTGCTTAGTGCCAGGGAGGCCCCATTAAAACTGAATCTTGTGTACCTGTACTGAAGTAAGGGAGTCAAACAACAGACTAAAGCAAATACGTGTTGAATAAGGTTGGATCTACACTGCCATATAATGCAATTCTACACTGGGTCGACACTGTAGTTCACACTGCATCCTTTGGCAGTGTAGATCCAGTCTGAGAGATGAGGCAAGGGAAGGAAAGCCTTTTCTGTCGTGAATGTGGAAGCCAGGATACATCCTTTGGAGCCCTCTCTCAGCAAAATACCCCCGGAGGAGACAGAGAGGCCTTCTCTTCACCCGGCTTGGCCCTGGAGTGACCTGAAAAGCCCTTTCCAGCAAATCAATGGGCGATCAGATCAAGCTTGGTGGCAAAGAGGGCTGTGAGGATTGGAGAGGCTCTCCTTCTCCGCTGGTTAGGGTCTCTCCAAGTGTTGGGTGGTCTTCAGCAGTTATGGGGCAGGTGTATGGCAACCTGTTCCTCTTCCTTCCTTTTTTCCTTCTTTCCTTCCTTCTTTCCTTCCTATCATCTTTCCTTCCTTCCTTCCTTCCTTCCTTCTTTCTTTCTTTCTTTCTTTCCTTCCTTTCTTTCTTTTCTTCCTTCTTCTTTCCTTCCTTCCTTCCTCTCCTCTCCTCTTTCCTTTCTTTCTTTCTTTCTTTCTTCCTTCCTTCCTTCTTCCTTTCTCCTTCCTTCCTTCTTTCCTTTCTTTCTTTCCTTCCTTCCTTCCTTCCTTCCTTCCTTTTTCTTCCTTCTTTTCTTTCTTCCTTCCTTCCTTCCTTCCTCTTCTTTCTCTTTTCCTTTTCCTTCCTTCCTTCTTTCCTTCCTTCCTTCCTTTCTTCCTTCTTCCTTCCTTCTCTTTCTTTCTTTCTTCTTTCCTTCCTTCCTTCTTTCCTTTCTTTCTTCTTTCCTTCTTCTTTCCTTCCTCTTCCTTCTTCCTTCCTTCTTTCTTTCTTCCTTCTTCCTTCTTCTTCCTTCCTTCCTCTTTCTTTCCTTCTTTCTTTCCTTCCTTCCTTCTTTCCTTCCTTCCTTCCTTCCTTCCTTCCTTCTTTCCTTCCTTCCTTCCTTCTTCCTTCCTTCCTTCCTTCCTTCCTTCCTTCCTTCCTTCCCCCAGACATGCCCCCCTCCGCCCGCCTTCATAGGTTGTCCATGATCCCGGCGTTTAAGGCCAAAGTCTGGATTAGCCCAACAGTCGGCTGCGCGTAATTGTAGATCTAAGCGCTGCTTAGTCCATGGCCGGGGTCACGGGGGTCTCTCCCTCCCAAGCGCCTGAATTATGGCTTAGTCGGGGTCTCTGGGCGCCGGAGGTCAGGAGAAGAAGCGGCCTGGCCAGGAAAGAGAGGGGCCTGGCCATTGGGGGAACCCAGAGCCCCCCAGCATCCCAAGATCTTCGTGTATTTGTATAGGTGCCTGTCTCTCTGGTTGCACTGCATGATATGGTCAGTATGCCCCCAAATGATGCAGTTCCAAGTGCATTGGGTCTACATTGACCGTATTGTGCCATTCAAACTGCATTGTTTCTCAGTGTAGACCCAACCATGTATATTTACAAAGATAAGGGGCACAGAGAAGATGCTCCCACGCCTCTGCCTCTCCACATTTCTCCCGCTTTTGAATCCTTTGACACCCGCCCCGGTGCGGCGTCCTTTCGGGGCCCATTTACCCGGCCATTAATGCAGATCCCGCTCCAGATATTAGCCGAGGCTGCCTTTGATCTGCTCCAACGCGACCCGCTCGCCGCCTGCTCGGCTTGTGATCCGGGTGTTTGGAGATATTTATTATTAATAGCAGAATACAGGCCGCGGGTTGGAAAAGCGGAGGGAGGGAGGGAGAGGAGGGGAAGGAGGGGGGTTTTCTTCTCTTTTCTCTCCCCGGCTAGATGTGGGGTTCCCCTTTCTCTTTATGGGGCTGCATTTGGATTCATTGGAGGGCAGGAGGAGGGCAGGAAGGGAGGAGAATCCCTGGGTTCGTTCCTCCTGGGATAAAGACATAACATCATGCAATGTGGCGCTTCCATACACACTCCGATGGAGGGGACCCCTCTGGCGCCTTCTTCGCCCCCGTGTTTCCCAAGGCAAAGCAGCCCTGGCCTTACAACCACCCCAGAAAGAGGAGGAGGAGGCGCAGCTTTGTGCGTGCGAGCGGCCGAGCGAGAGCAGCTGCAGACGCCGGCTTAGCCCAGGCTTTGGGGCTGGTGGAGGGGAGGGGAAGGGAAGGGGGGGCAGAATGGAGGGAGTGAGAGAGGGAGGGAAGCGGAGAGCACTGAGCCATCTTCCTGGCTATGATTATACAGCTTACAGAGATGTGACCCATTTTCAATTACTCGATCGCCGAGATCCCCGAGACAAAGCAGGGCCTTCCCTCCCTCCCTTCCCTCCCTCCCTCTCTCAGCGCCTCTCTCTTTCTCTGTGTTATACTCTCTCTCTCTCTCTTTCTCGGAAATGGAACCGGGAGACGTTCGTGCGAGCGGCTCCAAATCCCCGCCTGGCTCGGAGTTGCTTTTCTGCACACGAGGCGAGGCGCGCGCGGCCGAGCCTTGGCCCCATTTCTCTCTCTCTCTCTCCTTTCCACCCCGGAGCCCTTTCTTTCCCCCCTTTTAGCGCGCGTGGGGTCGAAGAGGGCAGGGAAAGGAAGAAGGGGAGAGAGGACAAGAAGAGGGGGAGGCCTGAATGTGTGTGAGGGGCGAAGCAGAAGCCCCCTCGGCTGCCTCTGGGTCAGAGCTTGAGGTGGCGTTGCTTTGCATGCCCAGAAAAAAAGGATAACAATAGGATGCTGCTCGTGGGGGCGGGGGGAAGCGGAGGGTGTCGACACCCTCCTGAGTGTCCTCTTCGACTCCCTCCTGAGTGCCCTCTTCCTGAGGTTTGGCTGGGAAAGATGGCTCCCTGGTCTCTCTCCTGGCTGCCTTTTTCCGCGTCTTCCATTATTTATATTTGCGAGAGAGCGACACAAAGAGAGCGCGCAGGGGTGGAGGGGGCGCCTGGGGTCGCGGCTGCTGCTGCCTGATGGCTGAGGATGCTGCTGGGGGAGAAGGGGGGTGTTTGAGGGGAAAGGCGGGGGGATGCTCCTCCTTTGCGTGGCCCCCACTCGCTAACCGTGTCGCCCCCTCCCTCCTCCTTCTTCTCTCCCTCCACCCCCCCCCCCCCGCTTCCTGATCCGGGTTCCAGACGCGTGTGGCCTGTCGGACGCAGCGCACATCGAGAGCCTGCAGGAGAAGTCCCAATGCGCGCTGGAGGAGTACGTGCGGAGCCAGTACCCGAACCAGCCCAGTCGCTTCGGGAAGCTGCTCCTGCGGTTGCCTTCGCTGCGCACCGTCTCCTCCTCCGTCATCGAGCAGCTCTTCTTCGTCCGCCTGGTAGGTAAAACCCCCATCGAGACGCTCATCCGAGACATGCTGCTCTCCGGCAGCAGCTTCAACTGGCCTTACATGTCCATCCAGTGCTCCTAGAGCGCCCGCCTCGTGGCCTCCCCGCGCTTAGAAGCCCCCCCAGAGAGAAAGAAAGAGAAAGAAAGAGAAGGAAGGAAGAAGGAAGAGAAGGCCGTGGCATCGCTCCTCCAGGAGAGCGACCCAAATCGCCCTTTCGGGGAGGTGGACGAGGCACATTGGCGAGCGGGAGGGGACCCTGAAGGGCAAGGACTCGCCTTCCGTCTCTTCCTTTGGGCGATGGAGCCTCCAGACAGAGCCAGCTCTTGCTTGTGGAAGGAAGGCAACCAGGAACGCTGGGACTGGGGAGCCAACTTTGAATGCTTCGGGACAAACAATGAAAGAGGAAAGGATTGGCCTCTTCTGCCCCTCTCCCCAGCTCGCACTGCCTCCCTCCTGTGTGCCCCCTCTCCTCCTCTTCCTCCTCCTCCCCCTCAAAAAAGAAGACACCTAGAATGGATTTTCTTGGATTTATGACGGACTGAGGTGGAGATTGAAGCGTCTCTGTACAGCCAACCCAACCCCACAGTTTAAAAAAACACAGGAAAACAAACAAACAAACCAAGGAATGGTAGAAAAATGTCAGAAACTGGAGCCGACTTGACTCTGAGGGGCGGGCCAAGGGAGAGGGACCCACAGGCACGCACTGACCACGAACATTGTTCTTCATTTTGTAAAATATTAGTCTTTATTTTCACTTTTTTTGTAAAAATTTAAAAACATCGTATGCGCATAAAAGAGAGGGGGAAAAAGAAGAGAGAGAGAGAGAGAGGAAAAAAAGAAGGGAGGGTCAAGAGGAAAAGAGAGAGAAAACACAAGAAAACACAACCAGAAACTGGGGGGAAAATAACATTTTCCAAATAATTATTAAAAAAAACAAGGAATTGTTCTGTGTGTATGTATCTATATCTGTTTTGTATTTTTTTTTCTGGTTCCAAACCAGGCTTCCTGTGATTCTATACTAATCATTTTTGATATAATAACCCTTTTTGCTTCTTATAATGAGTGCGATATATGTTGTCGAAGCTGTTCTTCAAGAATTAAAATTGAAGTGAGAATTTAAACAAATAATAATAATAATAATAATAATAATAATAAAGCATTTAGCAACAACAACAAAAGAAACACCAAACAGCAACACCAACAAAAACAACCCAATCCCAGGCTAGTCCATGTGTCCTTGTTCCTTGAGGCCGACCTACAAGGGTGAGGAAGGGAAAGTTGAACTCCAAACCCAGGCCAAGTTTGTGTAGCTCAGGCATAGGCAAACTTGGGCCCTCTGAGTGTTTTGGACTCCAACTCCCACAATTCCTAACAGCCTCAGGCCCTTTCCTTTCCCCCCTCAGCCGCTTAAGTGGCTGAGGGGGGAAAGGAAAGGGCCTGAGGCTGTTAGGAATTGTGGGAGTTGGAGTCCAAAACATCCAGAGGGCCCAAGTTTGCCCATAACTGGTGTAGCTCCTGCCAGAGTTTCAGGAGACGGGGACCTATTTTGAAACAAATACATTGGCCAAGTTGTTGGCATGGGTTAGGCAAATCTAACTTAGCATTTCCAAGGTATCTGGTCTCATGTAAGTCTTACAAAACCAGAAAGAAATCTCAGTCTCTGAGTCATTTTTTTCCCCAATGATCATTGTTTCCAACATAGGCATAACCTGGAAAACAAATGTCTTTGGTTGGGAGAATGATCACTGGTTTAGATCCTTCTTATTGTCTCTTTTCTGTTCAGATGAGATGTATCTGTTTTGCTTTCCCATCCAAAGACACACGAAGGCCTGGTCGCCTGATAGAAGCCTCATTATCAGTGATGAAAGGCCCGGTGGTTTGATAGAAGTCTCAATATCAGTCATGAAAAAATGTACTCCTGGTTGATCTCTTGCTATGGTCCATGATTTGATATTTGGGTTCTAACTCGGCCAACTGTATGGCTTCCTTGTAGATGGCAAGAGACAGGGTATATCCTTTCATGGTGACTGCTTTGGCTATGGTGTCCCTATGAGACAGTAAGGGCTGAATGTGTAGTAGTTGTAAATATGGGAAAAGAGGAAGAGAGATGGGGAAGGAGACATCATTGAACCCTAGAACCAGAAGAGACCACAAGGGCCACCTATTCCAAGAAAGAAAGACTAAGAGGTGGCTCACTTGGGTTGTGTGTACCCATCCAAGGACACTCCTGTGTAGTCTCTTTCTTGAATCCTCATATTGTATTTTCCCCTTCAAAAACCCATATCCCCACCCCCCCACAATTCTCTCCCTACCCAGAGAGGAGCCCCTTTTGAAGGCAAGGAGACTTCCCCATTCCTTGGAGCCGGTCGCTCCAGATCTCTGCAACAGCTTTCACCGCATTAATATTTTATAGGATCTGAGACGGAGCTGTAAGAACACACACTGCCAAGGGAGCCCTTCCTTAACGTATTAATAAAGCCTGGATCTTTAAAAATAACATCCGTGTCCCCCCTCCTAACTCCCTCCCCCTCCTCCTCCAGCTCTCTCTCCCCTCAGCTCTCTCTCTAGTAGCCCTCCAAACATTTCCAAGAACCAGACAGGGCTTTCGAGAGGAAGAAGAGGCAGCACTTTCCCTGTTAATTTGCTGTCTGTGCTCTCTAGGGTTTTTCAAACCAACCCCCCCCCCCACACACACACACACACACACATACACACACACCATCTCCCTCTCTCTGGTTTGCATTAACAAGATCCTTCCATCCAACTCACTAGGGGTGGTTTTTAATATTCTACTTGCAGGAGATCCGAGATGGGAGAGAGAGAAAGAAACCTATTTCTATATAGTGGCCAGTTAGATAACCTCCTCTGCCTGGCCCAAGGCTTTCAAGATGCCTACACTCAGGAAAGATCTGGTTTTGGGACAATCAGGCCAAGCTACTGCCAGTGCCACTGGTTTCTCTGGTTTGGGTAATGTTGGCCTTTGAGACCACACAAGCCTTGAATAGACAGCCTCTGTAGTCAGGCTCTGAATATCCTTCAGAGATGGACGCCCATCTTCCCCGCCAGCCCCAAAAGCATCCTTTCCCTATCAATGGCAAATTCCCACCTAAAATGCATCCTTTCCCCATCAAGGGTAAATTCCCATCCAAAAACCGTCCTTTTCCCCATCAAGGGTAAATTCAGAATTATAATTATTTCAACGGCAGGTGTCAATAATACAAATTAAGGCTATTGAAAAAATACAGAATAGAGTCAGTCTTTCAGGTCCAGAAAGGAGGAAAGGATGCCTAAGGGGATTTCCTTCTGTCATCAAACTTTTCTGATGAGCTCTGCAAAGCTCTCTCTTTCTCTCTGACTTCTCAGTTTGTTTTAAGGAAGGTAGTGGTGTTGGTTTTCTTTTTTCAGATGGTACTTGATCTCAGCCCTTGAGCGCTCAAAAGCGAAGGGCCTTAGACCCCTCAAGAAATGTTTGATGACTCAGCCTCTTCTCCTCCTAGCGATTGTTCCAAAAACCAAGTATTTATTCCTGATTTTTTTTTTTACTTTTCCCTTTAGTGAGATCAGCATGAGAATCCATTGGCCTTCTGTAGGGAAGGAGGGTGCTCAATGGTGAAGTCTTTCGCAAATGATATCAAAAGGGCATTTATTTGATCTCTGTGTTGTGGAAGGCTTTCATGGCAGGATTCAATGAAAGCCTTCCACGTTGCTGTGAGCTGTGAACATTCTGGGCTATATGGGCATCCTCCAGAAGCATTCTCTCCTGAGGTTTGACCCACATCTATGGCAGGCATCCTCAGAGGTTGTGAGGTCTGTTGGAAACGAGGCAAGTGAGGTTTATATATCTGTGGAATGCCTACTTTCCAACAGACCTTCCAACTTCTGAGGATGCCTGCCATAGATGTTGGCAAAACGTTAGGAGATAATGCTTCTGGAACATGGCCATACAATCCAGAAAACTCACAGGAACCCACCATTCGATCTCTCTTTTTCGTAAGAAGTGGTGTTCCTCTTTTTGTTGCAGCCACAGGGCTCTGAAAAATCTGGTCAGGCCTCAGTGTCTCACACCACTTTGGAAAATGTGAAGTCATAGGAAGCAACAATGTTCTTCTCCTCTTCTTATACAACAGTATTAGTAGTTCAACCAACTTTAGGTGATAAATCCTGAGAACCCTGAGAAATTAGAGAAGGGGAAAATACTGCAAGACTGTGGCTCTTATGGACGCTAATCCGACCTTTCCAATAAGGAAACTTATGTGCAAGTAAATCTCCAGCTGTATCACCCAACAGCTAGAGAAATTCAAAGTGATTGATGCAAAACTCAGGCAAATAATTCTAGCTAACGAGACTGTGGACACTTTGTTTGCCCTTAGGTTGTTAATAGAGTTATCACAGAGTTTTGTAACAGAATATTGCAGATGGAAACCTTTAACATGCCTTGTTTTGTAGACCACACAGCCATATAACCCGGAATATCAACGCAGATAATCCACAATATCTGCTTTGAACTGGATTATTTAAGTCCACACTGTCATATAATTCAGTTCAATGTGGATTTTATACAGCTGTGTGGAAGGGGCCCTGGTCTCTTTTTCCAAAACGAGGGACTGTGGTCTGCCACCCCAGATTAGGAATACTTTTAATGGAAGTCGTCTTCGTCAATGCTTTCCATGCAAAGTGTTCAGGACTGGGCTATGAAGCAGTGTGACCAGGTTGTGGAGAGAGTCTTAGCGAGTTTATGACCAATTGAGTGTCTTTCTTAGGTCCAGAATTAGTTTTACACACTTTTCCAGGGAAGCATAGATTTTATTCTGTTTGTAAGGGCCTCGGGGACGCACTCTTGATGGCTCCGAATTAGCTGAGGAAGAAAGAAAAGAGGGACGAGGGGTGTGTGTGTTTCTGTGAGAGAGAAACTTTGTCCAGTCATGCTTAACATCAGAGAAGGGGGCTGTTCATAAATATATTTCAGGCAGAAAATATTCCGGGAGAGATCAAGATTAGAGAGGAAGCTTTGAGACTGCAGACTGATTCTCTTTGGTGAAAGGCAAATGTGACTTTCCTTGTCTTCCTTTTTGAGAAGGCAATAGACCTCGGCGCTTCTATCTGAACCCCTTTTGGCATAATTATCTCGTATTAAATAACAAAAAAAGAGATGTTTCATACTGAAATCAAAGGGTCCCCCCTCCCTCTTTTGGCAGGCAAAACGTTCTTGGTGAGGGCAAGAGCTGTAAGTTTCTTTGAAGTGGTTGGGAAGTGTGGTAGTTTCAAACTGCTTTTGGAAAGGTGGGGAAAGGCAAACGGGGGAGTTGTAAGTAAAGCAGAGCCCCCCAAGAATTAACCCACCCCTTCTCCTCCTGGCAAATCTGGAGGGCCAGGCAGACAGGCATCAGGCTGACACCCACGCCTCCCAGTAATGAGCAGACCTTTCGGAACGAGCGCTATATTCCGAAGCAAATGATTTCCCTGAAAGGAAAGTCTTGCTGGTCGGTGCCTTCAGACTGAGATGTTCTTGATCTTGCATAATAAACATGGCGAGAAAACCCGCCTTCGCCTTCCTCGCCCTTCAAGTCTGCTTTTTGCAGAGGCAGGGAATCGCCCCTCTTTTTGTTGTTGTTGTTGTCGTTGCTGTTGTTGTTAAAGGGTGCTGAAATATATTCTCCTTCCACCTGTGTCATCAGTCTTGCTGCCAACAATCTGAATGTAACGGAAAGAGTTGGGGAGGAGGGAGGAACCCACCCCTTCCCGGTGTCAATGGGAGGCGAGTATTTATTGTATACAATAAATTACTAGGTTCCATTATTTATTATACATATATTTACAATGCACCTTATCGGCAGATAAGTAGATCGATTGTATTCAGCTTTGTAAACCGCTTCTTGGCGACTTTTTAAAAAAAGAAAGAAAAGAAAAAAGAAACGAAGAGCGGTATAGAAGTCTGTATGTGCCTATCATATGCCCTTGG